GTTGTCCCCGCCAGGAGAGGCTGGCAGACCTACCTTCCCTGCCCTCCTGCAGCTGGCGCGCCAGCCTGGCCCTTTAGCCGGCCTGGCCGCGCCCATCTGCTTGGTCAGCCCCCCTGGCCGTGGGGGGGGGGGTCTGCTTATACCCCTGGGGGCCTGGCATCCCCAGATCAGCCACTCCCAGGGCTCCTAGCAAGAAGAACCAGCAGCCAGCCCATGCCGCCCCCTGCTGACCACTGCAAGCCAGTTCACCAGCACAGACGCGGAGGTCTGTGTGTCGAGGGGTCAGGGACAGGACCCCAGAGGACCAGGGGCTAAGACCAGCCAAGCCCACACCCCATGAGGTCCAGGCAGGCGCCAGGAAGAGGCAGGGTGAGTGTGCGCCCCTGGGGGTGACCAGCAGGGCAGGCTGTCACGTGGGTTGGGACTCGGGGAGACCCCTGGGGGCCTTCGTGGCTAGTCTTCACAGATGGCCACGCCTTTGACCCTTGGCAAGCTGGTGGGTTCCAAGTGCCCACCTTTCCGTTCACCATCAAGCACTTAACCCCTGTGCCACCAGGGCAGGGGAGGGGAGCCCAAGGCACCCTCCAGCCGTCTGCACACAACTAAATCCAGCAGCAAGACGAGGCACCCCGTGCTGGCCCCAGCTTCAGAGCCCAGCAATGCAAAGCAGCACCCTAGGACACTCCAGGGTGCCCGCTCACCCCGGGGGTCAGTCGGACACAGCCCGGCCCCGGGGGTGCCTGGGAGCCACCCTGTGACTCAGGATCACCAGGAGCTGGGTCGTGGGCCAGGCAGGGGGAGCGGGCCGATTCACCTGCCCAGGAGGGCACTCAGACGATGGAAGGAGCCCACAGGCTAACTCACCTGTCCAGGAGGGCACTCAGGCGATGGAAAGAGCCCGCGGCGCCAGGTAGCCTCTGCTCCAGCGTTGAAGCAGATCTGTGACCCACGAGCCCTGCAGATCAGGGCACCCTGAGTGTTCTTGCTGAGATGAGGGAGGGCAGGGGCTTGCGGGGACCCCTGCTGGGGCTATGGGCATAGCAGTGCCCCTCCCCCCTTAGGAGCCCTGTTGGCATCGTGGTTCGGTGGGGGGGCTGCTCACTGCAAGGTCAGCAGTTTGAAACCACCAGTCCCGGAAGCCCACGGGGCAGCTCTACCCTGCCCCTAGGGTCGCCATGACCCTGCATGGGCTCTATGGCAGCAAAGTGTCCAGGGCAGCGAGGTGTCCAGAATACAATGAGGGCTTGTGCCCAAGGCTAGTCCAGATTTCCTCTCCAGACGGGGCCACCAGGACCACGTGCCCAGGACAAGCCGGGGGCAGTCCTGGAGGGAGTCCAGGGTCCAGGATACTTCAGCATTTGGGCCAGCACATTGGCTCTGGTTCTTGTGAGGGTGGTGTTTGGAGTTTCCTCCCCACTTCTGAGCAACTCAGACTCCGGGGCCCAGGGCAGAATGCACCCCGCAGCATTCTCTAAAGCCTGCTCCCTACATATATTTCTTTTCAGCACCTCTGGGCGGGCGGGGGAACCCACCCTTTGGTCAGCAGTGGCCGCCACGCTGTCATGATGGCCCCTTTCAGGAGAGGAAAGCGGGGGCCCGGGAGGCCAGCCGGGGCATGAGTCCTCATCACCAATGGGCACCTCACTCCCTCGAGCCGATGCCAGATCACAGTGACCCTACAGGATAGGGCAGAACTGTCCCCGAGGGTGTCCGAGACGGAGACTGTTTGTGGGAGCAGACAGCCCTGTCTTCCTCCCACAGAGCGACTGGTGGTTTCGAACTGCTGACCTTGTGGTGAGCAGCCCAACCTCTCACCACGATGCCACCAGGGCTCCTATGTCAGGAAAATGAGAGCCCCTAGCCCAGGGGACGTCCCCACCCCACCCCCCGCTACCTACCTTGGATCGTGCTCCTGCCTGGGTTCCATGGGCCCGCCTGCTGCCACTCCCAGCCAAAGCTCGGGGGCAGCACCTCACTGTCCGACAGGCAGGGGGAAGAGACTGGTGCCTCCTCCCCTGCGCTGGGTGCCCAGAGGCCGGACAAGGCTGGGGCTATGAGTGTGGCCTCGGCAGGTTCTGGACTGGGCAGCAGGGACGAGGGCAGGCTGCCAAGGGCCGGGTCCTGGAGTGGATCTAGAGCTATGGGACTCTGCAGCCTTTGGGTCAGCATGTCCACCCGCTGCTTCAGGACATTGGCCGTGGCCTCCAGGGCCTGCAGCCGGGCCTGCTTGTACTGGAAGTGCAGGGGGCGGGCCTCGTGCAGGTCCTCATCCTCCTCATGGTCCAGGTAGGTGCACAGGTGTGGGGGCGGGCAGCTCACGGACAGTTCTGGGTGTTGCCAGGGGCGCAGGGGGGTGCCGTCGGACAGCAGCAGGGCGCTGCCATCGCGAGACTTGGGGTGGCTGAAGGCTTTGTTCAGGCACAGGCAGAAGCTGCAGAGAGGGGGGCAGAGGGCAGGTGGCCAGCTGCACAGGGTCGGGCAGCACTCACCTAAACACAGGCCAGGGGGGTGTTCTGTCTGTCCTGCCCTGAAAACAGCGGGGCCGGTCACCCTGAGTGTGGGTGATGGGCAGCCGAGGGACTGCTAAGAAAGGAAGACTGTGGGTTGAAATAAGACATCCCTGCCTTGGTAAAGCCACTGTCACCACGCCACTGTCACCACGCCACTGCCGAAATACGTGGTTGCTTAGGATCACCAGGGCTGGGGGTTGAAAGAGAAGCATCACACCCCCCCATTTCTGAAGCACCCCGGAGCACACGTGCATCTATCTGTGCGGCAGATAACGAGGGGCACAGCACAGATGGCCCTGCCCCCTCCCCTCGCCCCCAATGTGCCCGACAGGCAGCAGTGCGGCAAGGAGAGCAAAGGTGGAGGAGGCCACCATTTCCGTTCCACTAGGGTCCTCGGCCCATGCCCAGGGAGGGGAGGGCAGGAAGAGGGACTGTGGCCCCGCTGGGAAACTCCCCGGCAAAAGGTCTCTAGTAACGAAAAGCCAAGACTCAGGGAGGCCTGGCCCAGCCGCAGTGTGCGTGGCGACCTCACACCCACGCGTGGAAGGCCGGAGGAGGGTCCGTGCCCTCAGTTAGGGTTGGCAAACACTACTGGCGAGACGGTTGTGGCAGCTAGGTGTCATGCCCACTGGTATTTGTGTAGGAGCGGAGTTGGACCTGCCATCCAGGTCACGGCCTGATGAGGCATCCTGGGAGGCGTGGCTTTTTAATGAGAGGTCCTGGGCATGTCATGCCCTCTCTCTGCCCCTTCACCCCTTCCTGCTTGCTGGGACTCTGTGCCTGCCTCCAGAGATGGCCCCACGTAGGCCACCCCGGCTCTGAGAACTGTCGGTGCCGGGCCATGTTCCCACCGGCACTGGATCCACGTGACCCTGCGCCCGCAGGCCTGCGACCTCCCTGCTTCCGGGGCAGTTTGGTCACCTGGCACAATTCCTGGTGAGCAGCGTCTGGGACCTCAGATGCCTGCTAGGAGCCAGCTAAGAGAGAACTATTGACCCATGGTC